TAGTTGAATTTTTTTCTGGCAAATTTCTTCAGTTGAAAAGTTGCAGGTGAAATTTTGCCAGCAAATTTGAAGTAAAAAAAATTCACATACATAATTTCAGAGGATAAAAATTCAATGTCATAAATTYAGTGTCTAAAAATATTCAGATTCTAATGAGACTATTTTTCTTCCATATTTTGAAAAAATCCGTAAGACTTGAAAAAATCTGAGATTGCTCTATACGTCTGTTTACCTGCAAAATGATGTAAAATACTTATAACTTACAGACAATCTGTACAAGTTTACATGCAAAGATCTGCAGTAACGTTCAAGTGAAAAAATTATGTAATGTTCCTGGCCACCCCTGTGTGAGTAGTGGTCCCAGTCTGGCCACCCGAGTGTGAGTAGTGGTCCCAGTCTGGCCACCCGAGTGTGAGTAGTGGTCCCCGTCTGGCCACCCCTGTGTGAGTAGTGGTCCCAGTCTGGCCTCCCTCGAGAAAAATGTCTGGCTCCGCCACTGCATACACCAACAGAGGCCAACATCAGATCGATGTGCAGTTTGGACAAAGGGCTGAATGGTACCCAGAACTGAACCCACTCATGCTGCAGGTCAGATGAACGTGGATAGAAACAACTGTAATTCAGTGTGTGTGTGTGTGTGTGTGTGTGTGTGTGTATGTGTGTGTGTTGCTTTTTTTGTCTGCATCATGAAAGAGGAGGAATAGGAACAGCATTCTATTTTTAACCCAACTGACTCCGGGGACAGTTGCAACATTGTTTGGGGGTCGTTGCAACATAGTATTAATACAAGATATTTCACTGTAAATAAAAGTTTTATTATTTATATTTATATTATTGCTTAATTTTTAAAAAACTGTAAGTTATAATGATATTACAGTGTTGTTTATTCTTTTTGATCAAATGATGAATATTGACTGAACGAACGTCCACATATTTTTTATCATCTCTGTGGGTAACAATACATAAAAAACAAGTTTTTTTCTACGACAACTTGGGTGTGAAAAAACTACGATTGTTAAAGCTTCGCTCTGCGTGACGTGCAGCGGGAGAGTCCGGGGAGGGGGAATGATCCCGACGTAACTTCTCTACAGCGGGAGGGGGACATTTTGAGGATTTATTCTCTATACATGTTTTAAAACACTGTATTTCTTCATTATATTTGGAACTCCTGCTCAGTTGTCTCTGCACTCGCAGACATGACACAGGTGCGATGACATAACTGACATGACGATAGGACGTTAGAGGGTACATTTCTACCGTAGTAGGCCAACTAACTACCGTCTACCGCATTCACAGCCGTTCCCTCACATCGCTGTCACATTTTGTCTGGACAACTGCACATCTTAAAGCAGCCACGATCTCACTTTTATTATTAGAATCATGAAAAAGTGCTTCTGCAGCCTCAATAAGCGCTTCTTTCATAACTTCTCCATCGCTGAAAGACTTTTTGTGTTGAGCCAGGATCATGAGGCTTTCGTAGCAGCCTTACCTTGTGCTGGGCCGAGTGAAAATTGATTGCAGTCCTGCAAGCTTGTTTTTCAGCTCCCACACTTAAAAAAATAGTCCTCCTCCCTTTCCGGGGGAAATAATAACTTTTTGTTTCCTTTTTCACTCGTTTTTCATCCATTTTTCCCCCCGCACTAACCAACACATGTACCGTATCACTCCGCTTTGTTTTAGAACAAGTGACCCTAAAGTCTAGTGATATCATGTTCGGAGTGCGGCATGGGGACGGCGGAAGGAGCATGTTCAAGGCCCATGAGCGACTGGTTGGGCACCCCTGGATACACCGCACAGCCCTACATTAAAGTCATTGTTATGGACTAATTATCTATCTGTTTCACCTTGACGCTGTCCAGTACTCATATATCTTATGATCATTGTCAAATCTGTTTGCCCAGACGTCAGGACTCCGCAACGGACTGACCTCTCTTGTTTGATAAGAAACTCTTTGAGCTGAGAGCCCTGTGATTGGCTGGACAGTACATTCGTCGATCTGTGATTGGTTATAAGCACGTCATATGATGTTATCATGGTGTATATTATTGGCTGCTTTCCGCTGACGTGTCAGCCACATGCCGACAGATTTTCTTGAGTTCTGTTTGTTTGTCGCTCAGAATTAAATCATTATTGACCACCATACACGCAGGCTTTCTGTGCATTATTCCAACGTGTTTCTGCATTCTTGGTAAATAATGCGACGACAGAAATTGGCGTTGTCGGCAGGACAAAGTTAGATATTTTTGTGCTGGGAGTTGTGGATGAGCTGTGGGAGCCATCTCAGACTGAATTTACTAATCAGCTGCAGTTATACATCCAATAATCACTTTGAAAAACTTTAAAATATATTTATTGGTTCAAAAAATATTTTGCTGAGTTTATCTAGTTACTAAAGAGCTAAGCAAACAAGCAACAAATAAACAGTTGCATGTTCTTCTCATGCTTGTGTGGGTTTTTACCAGGTATTCTTGTTTCCTCAGTCAAAAAACATGCATGTCAGGTTGTCTTCAGGCCCAGACATCCCTTACATAAGAGACCTGTGATCTCAATGGGATCTGCCTCGTTAAAGAAAGGTTAATAAATTAACAAATATAACCAACCAGGAACATGTAGATCCCTTGTTCTTGTCTGTCCTCTAGCTATTACTACACCGAAGTTTAGCATTATAAAACTGGCAGAAATCCAACCAGTTTCATTATATCTCCGCCCACTGGGGTCGGAGGCAGACTGTTGTCTGTGTGTGTGTTAGTGAGCTGTCTGTCCAGAGCGGTCTTGTGTGCACGTCTCCTGAATGAAACTATAAATAGGTATAGTAACTCCATTAGAGCAGTACTCTGATGGATTTAGGCATTGAAGAGTCAAATGTTAAGGTCATTCATGATGATTGATAATATAAAATGGCTTTTTTCCCCCTAATTACTCAACAGTTCAAATAAAATTTCAGGTTTCCACTGACAAATCTCTAGTACAATGTACATACACATGGTAACATCTGCACAAAGTTGTGCTTCAAAGGCAGACATGTCTAGGGCATGTGTAGGCATACCAACTGTCACTTTGGCATTGGCTTCCACCTTGTTTGTGTTTTAAAGGCTTGGTAATGTAAGGTCAGTATCTGTAAAATTTATTTGTGACTGAACCATTTCTAAGGTCAGTTGACTGAAGCAGCCATTTAAATTGTATTGACTCCAAAAATGTTGAGGTTCATTAAAAAAATCAGTCCACACAGGGTGTCATAGGCTACAAATTTATTACTATTTTAAATAATGTCTAAATAAAGGGACTAAAGACATGCTAGTGTGACTTCTTACATTATCAAAAACTGGGTTGTGGGTGGATGTTTGCAGCAGAAATCTACCCAGCGAGGGCCCATCTGTCTGAAGAACAAACTTTAAAATAAGTCCCATGAACACCTTGAATGGGTGGAGTCACAACGGAGGGCAGTGATTTTTCACAAACAAACTGTCAGTCATAGAGGAAAAGGAAAATGTGTTTTGTTTTCACAAATAAAATCTGAAAGACCTGGATACATTTCTGTGTCTCCTTCGATTGGTTTTAACTACAGAGATTAAAAAAGACAAAGAAACACACAAAGGGGCAAAAAGATCTATTTCATAATCAACTCCCTTTGGTAAAAATGGTAATAAATGGTCTTGCATTTCTGTCTTTCTCATATAGAACCTAACTTTAGCCATTAATCACTAAAGTCCACAGTAAGCTTGGAAAGTTTTACTAACACAACACAGATCTGTCATAAAAAGTCTGAAACTATATACAGAATATTTACAACACAGACAGTCCTTCCAGAATGAGATGTGTGTGTGTGTGTGTGTGTGTGTGTACGCTGGTGTGTTGACAGAGGGCATCTTAAAAAGGTTGACTTCCAGGGCAGCGAGGATTGTGTTAATAGAACTATATGATAACATGTATATACACACGTATATACAGTATGTATCTATATACATATATTTAGTGCATCTACTTTGGCACCATTTTGTATGTAAATAAAT